TCTCTCTCTCTCTCTCTCTCTCTCTCTCTCTCTCTCTCTCTCTCTCTCTCTCTATCTATCTATCTATCTCTCTATCTATCTATCTACCTCTCTCTCTCTTCTCTATATCTATCATCTATCAATCACGTATCTTTTGTTATCATTTATATGCATAAAACAATACATTATGTTAATGAAATGTCATTGCAATGAGGCAGTATCTATATATAATATACAGTATTCAATACTGACTGTCACCTACAATCATTGGCATTCAGAAATGTTTGGATTTCTTATGTGGTGTGTTGTGTGTGTGTGTGTTTTGTGTGTGTGGTGGTGTGTTATTATGTGTGTATGTATATTATATATATATATATATATATATATATATATATATATATATATATATATATATATATATATATATATAATATATATATATATATATATATATGTATGTATGTATGTATGTATGTATATTCGTATATATATATATATATATATATATATATATATATTATATATATATATATATATATATATGTATATATATACATATTTATATATATATATATATATATATATGATATAGTATGTGTGTATATATATACATTATAATACACGCACACGTACACACAAGCACACAGAAACACAAGAATGTACATACACGTACGCACAGAAAGTAAATGTACACTCACACGCGCACGCACGCGCACACATACACACATAAATAGGTTGCATATACACATATATATACATATTTGTTCTTCCATTTCCACACCTGTATTGTTAACGATAGATATCATAAACGTCACCTGTCTAATGCTAATGGTTCTGCAACCTTGAACCTTTTTTCAAGAACATTCATTTCAAGACTACTAATCTTCTTGTAAACAGTATTGACTATGCTGTTATTTAGAGACGTGTATGCGTGTTTGTACGTGTGCAATTCATTAGTCATCCTTAGCTCATAACAATGCTTTTATTACACCCCAAATACTTTGTCGAAAAAGAAAAGCCGAATGTATCTCCGTTTTCTCCTGAAAGTAAATAAATGAACTGATTTAGTAGATACAGAAATAATTTTCTCGAGAACTGATTAAGTCAGTCTGGAACTTAAGGGAAGGAGCCCCATGACTTCTCAGGAATAAGAACGCAAATTGGTCGTAATGTCCACTACACATAACTAGGTTAATGATCATATTGATAATGCAAATAATACAAACATCAATATGGATAATATTGAAATTACTGTAATCAAAGAGATCCTATAAAATATAATCAATTATACTAAAAACCACAGTGTGAATTCCATAATAGTGTTTGTATGTATAAAGGGCTTCATTGTTCAGGAGTTGATTACCTGAACCAACGCGGGCGTAATAACCAGTATTATCAATATGTATGTATGTGTGTGTGTGTGTGTGCACAGGCACACTAATATTATTTCCTCAATAATTAGTTGATCCTTTAACTATTACTGATGTAGCTTACACTAATTCAACGTTTTTTATTAATTTTGAAAGATGCTGGATTTATTATGGTCTTATGCTGTCGAAACTTCAATATTTCCAGCATCTTTAAATTCATTAAATATTGGAATGCGATATCATAACTTCGGATTGCTTCAATTAAAACCCATGCTTCCCGTGGTAAAATACCCTCATATACAGTCAAATTGTCTTTCGACTTTCTAAAACTTTACCGTTGAAAGATCTTTCTTAACTCTTCAGTGTAATGCGGAGATAGTAGCTCAATATTTTTTTGTAATGATCTTTATTTGACAAGGCTTTAAATACGGGGCTGAACATTTCTAATAAAATAGTTTTGCACTGGATTTACCAAGCCATGATATTAAGCGTAAGCAGGAGCAGGCTGGTAGGAAGTGGAAGGTCTTGGGGCGCCGTATTGGGCCTCTCCCTCGTACGTAACTTGGGCCACGTATCCAGCGTCGCCGTTCACGGTGTACGACACCCTCTGTACACGGCCGTCGGGAAGCAGTACAAAGTAAGCTCCTTGAGTGTTGTATCCATTTCGATTCTCTTGGTGGCCGAAGTCGTTACTCGTGGAATCGTGATTCACTGCGTAGTTGAAGTCGTACTGAGCTGGTCCCTGTAAAAGCAGATTGACTTAGAATTAAGGTCATTCAATAGATGTGGTTATGCGATATTGCATGACAAAATACATGGTAGAATTCTCATTACATGCCAATGAACTTACCGTGGGATGGGCATTATAGGATGGTGCAGGAGTGTAGGATGGCAGTGAACTACCAAAGACACCGACCACGAAGGCGGATACAACGAGAACCTGGAATTAACGAATATTATAACAAGTTGAGATCAATCCAGTCATCTATTATGGCGGAAGTGTGTACACAGTGTTACATGAGAGGCACATACCTTCAGAGCCATTTTTGTGGTAGAAGTGCTGAGAAACTAATGCGAACCAGGTTTTATAGTGCAGGCAGTCTACCACAGAATCCTTGACCTCTAAGATGAAGGGAAAACGGGAGGTTGTTATAATTTCCATCGCTTTTTCCATTCACATATAAGAAATAATACTATCTTGATATACAATGTAGTTTTGATAGAATTTGAAACTGCTAGATGCGTTATAATACATTGTAAGTGAAAGTCAAATGAAAAGCTTTAAAGAATGAAAAGTGCTAATATTATTTGAAACAGCTAGGTGCATTAGAACATAATTTAAATGAAAGTAAAATTGTATGTACTTTGATAATGAAGAACTGGATAATATGGTAATAACTTCTGAAATAATACCGCCATCGTTACTGTTCATATTCTTATTCTTATGCCTACTCTTGTTATCATTATACTCTAAGCGACCAACCGTCTGTATCTACCCGTGGTATCACACGACCAACCAACTGAATTTAACCATTACCCACTTTTGGCTATTTTATGGACAGGAGCCCGTATGAGGTGGCAAAGAGGCGAGTAAAGAGTAAAGCCACATTTGCCATACGAATATATAGTTAGACGTCTGCCTATCGCCCACCTACAAATTCTCGGAGATAACAAACGCACTCTCCCTTTAAATGAGAAAAAAATCATCCCTGACTCATTCGGCTACCATACCTCCATTAACTTTATGTGCACACATACATATATACATATGTATATATGGATACATATATATACAGGTATATATATATGTGTGTGTGTGAATAATATGCACATAAATGCACACACACATATGCATGAAATATATCAGTAATAATGCTGTTAAGAGATTGATAATTATAATAGAACAAAGATAAAAAAAAAAATAATAATAATAATTTAATTATAGCAACAAAATAGCAATAATGCAATCATAATTAATATGATTATCTAGTGCAGTAAATATACGTAATCATGTTTCTTTGTCATTGTTAACACTCCTTTCATTACCTCAGTAACGAGAAGGGACCGACAGTAATAGTAGTTTCACAGACTATAACGATAATAAAATGAAAATATTACACCTATAACTATTCCTCCTCATTCCGCCAATACGAACATCATTACCAATACTGATTAATGTTAGTAATAAATGATGAGGGTGATGATCGTAATTATATAATACCGGTAGACGAACCAAACCATAATGTAAGCATAGACATCTAAGGAGATATCTAGTAGTGACAAACACCTAGCTTCGACCATGTGACTGGGAATCTTGTTCATGGAATCGGCGTTTCTTTGTGAACTGTTAGACCTGAATTCTAAACAAGATGAAGGTAGAGGCGCTAAAAAAAAAAAAAAAAAAATAGGACGTACACATATAATTTTACATGTTCTGGTGTTAAAGAATGCCAGTTTCCATTGCTGATACCATATGGGTTACTAAAGAAATTCATGGAGAATGGTACCAGCTTTTTTTTTTAAGATAATTATAATAATCTTATTATTTAATGTAACGTTTAATAATTAGATTACATATTGACTATCATAATATTGAAAAGTAAAGCGAACAAGAAAACGATAGGAGAGAGAGAAGTATAAATAGGAGATGAAAAAGCAGAGAGAGACAGAGAAAACAGACAGACAGAGTCTATTCATCTCACATAAGATGCCATGGTAAATAACGCGCGTTGAGTACGATTAAAATTAAATATGCATTTATCTGACTGATGTCATGAACAAAATTAAATTGAATATTCTAGACGATAGTCATTTTCAAATCCCCAAAGCAGTATATTCATCATAAAATAAGTATGTCGCAAGCTAGAACTATTTTCTATTCAGTCACTTGGATTGATATAATTATGATTCTTGTAATTAAAAGCAATCACGTGACTTTTGCAGGGTGAAACTGCCTGTGCAATAAAACAGTAAAGATTTCCTTCAGTTTATTTTATGTAAAACATTTCAGATATGAGGCATGCAGATAATAAATAGCATATGGTCAACTCCGATAGATTCAGGACAACACATTTCACAGGATTAAGCGTAAGCAGGAGCAGGCTGGTAGGAAGTGGAAGGTCTTGGGGCGCCGTATTGGGCCTCTCCCTCGTACGTAACTTGGGCCACGTATCCAGCGTCGCCGTTCACGGTGTACGACACCCTCTGTACACGGCCGTCGGGAAGCAGTACAAAGTAAGCTCCTTGAGTGTCGTATCCATTTCGATTCTCTTGGTGGCCGAAGTCGTTACTCGTGGAATCGTGATTCACTGCGTAGTTGAAGTCATACTGAGCTGGTCCCTGCAACAAAAGCATATTGATTATATGCAAAATATGCAAAAAAAAATATGAATATTGTATGGATTACCAAAGGGTTTATTTATTCCATGCGCTTTATATTACCGTGGGAGCAGGAGCACCATAGGATGGAGCAGGTGCCCTGTAGGATGGCGGAGAACTGCCAAGAACACCAAACACGAGAACGGATAAAACGATAACCTGCAAGGGAAAAAAAATGTGGTCCACGGTTAACTAAAAGTGAATTCTGTGTAAACAAATTTGTACGCAGACAGAACCAACAGTTAGTAACAAACCTTAAAAGCCATTTTAGAGATGGAAGTGTACAGGAAACGAAGCGAACCAGGCTTTTATAGTTCAGACACCGCCTCCCCCGGCTTCTCTGACCTCTGCGGCAAAGGAAATGCGAAAGGAGGCTAAACTACGTGATTGGTCTGTTTCTTCAAATATCGAGATTTCTATACAATATGTCATGACGTAAGACAAGGAATGCTGGTAGAACGGACTCATGAGAAGAGATGTCGATTTATATAGACAGTAGGGATGTATTTTATTATTCTCATCAAAATTGGCGTTTATAATCAGTATTGTAAATATAATATTTGGTAATTTTAACCTCAGCTTTTATTGTTATATTGCTAATATTTCTATGGTCATCATTACGCTGACAGTAATAATATTGTTATTAGTGGTACTGTTGTACTTTCTCATGGTTTTAATATCGCTGTTTATTTTACTACTAAAGTTATTGAAATGTCATTATCACTATTATTACTGATGTATTATCCTTGTAAACATTAGTATAATTTTAACCAGTGTTATGCTCTTAGCAGTACCATTAGGATGATTAAAAAATAATCATTAAAAACTATTGTGATAGGAATGATTATCATCACTATTTTTACTGTTCTCATTACTGCTGTTCCACAATCCTTAGTGATAACCTTAACCATTAATACTATTAACAACCAGAAGTAGTACTAATAATAACTTACAATATGGATAACCATGAATACTATCGTTATTATTAGAAGTAATATCCTTGTTTTTATCATTATCATCTTTATATTATCAATTTTACTATTGTTATCCCTTGCAATATCATAAATACTAGTATTGTAATACGAATATTACTATGTCCATCAATTTCATTACCGCTATTATTACCACAATCATTAATAACATAAATAATCGATTATTCTAGCTATTAACAGATTACGAAGAACTGTTAACTTCACCTTGACATGTATTACAGTTGTAACTGTCGGTTACACTGATTTAAATCAAAACACTATGTTTATTTCGATAACATTGATGTAAACTCTAAATAATTGAACGGAAAATAAAACACTGCAGGTGCAGTACAGTCAACTTTCCTTGTGTTTCTAAGGTCATGGATTCTGCTGTAGGCTGCGTTTGTCTGTACTATAAAAGCAAGATTCACTTCGATTTCTCATCAGTTCCAGTAAAAATGGCTTTGAAGGTTAGTGCTCACATCTAATCCTGTTCTCGCCATCGTAAAAAAAAAGAAAACAAACAAAAATCTCAAAAAATTCGGAACCGTTATTTTTTACAGGTTGCCGTTCTGTCTGTCCTCGTGGTCGGAATCTTTGGCAGCTCTCTGCCATCTTACAGCGCCCCGGCACGGTCCTATAATGCCCCTGCTCCTACAGTAAGTTACCGTGCATAAAGCTCATAAATGAAAATGTAATTTATTACACAGTATTCGCTTTCTTTACATAATGTACTAAATAATGTATTAATTGCTGCTTTAAAGGGACCAGCCCAGTACGACTTCAACTACGCAGTGAATCATGATTACTCGAGTAACGACTTCGGCCACCAAGAGAATCGAAATGGATACGACACTCAAGGAGCTTACTTTGTACTGCTTCCCGACGGCCGTGTACAGAGGGTGTCGTACACCGTGAACGGCGACGCTGGATACGTGGCCCAAGTTACGTACGAGGGAGAGGCCCAATACGGCGCCCCAAGACCTTCCACTTCCTACCAGCCTGCTCCTGCTTACGCTTAAACCTACGGATTTGTATATTCTATATTTTGCAGAAATAAGATTACAACTATTTAATGGAATTACAATAAAAGTTTTTACAGATGCAAATCATATTAATTCCTACATACAAAGTATACTTAGGAAATTCGTCAGTGAAGACGAATCGATGAATATCAAAATAAAAGTTAGAAGTACTACTGTTGTATTGGAAATATGTGTGTAATAATTATATAAGTGATATATGTATGTTTAGTACATGTGTATGAAATTATGAATACTTTAGAAGAAATTTCTGTACGTATAGCAAGTATAGAATTATTGCAGTTATAATCATATGGGTGTGTTCGTATGTTTTATCTTCATTTATACATATATGCATGTATGTATATACATATATATATATATATATATATATATATATATATATATATATATATATATATACGTGAGCATATATGTATAGCTGTATACATACGTACATACATGTGCATGTGTACAAGTGTGTGTGTGTGTGTGCGCGCGCGTGCGTGCGGGTGTATACAATATATTTTGCAGCAAAAGTTCTATGTATTTCGAAAATTCTGATGAACAAAAGTGAAAAACGATTTCGCAAATCATATAATAGATGTTTCAGGTATTTTTCTTTTTACTTTGTAATTTCCATCGGCACTTGTGATTATTTTTTCACATATTAACATTCTGATTTGATTTGATGTCGGTATGTGTTCAAATACTTGAGGATGAAATCTAGTTGTGAAGTCTAGCTCATCCGTTACCTGTTCTCCGCTCCGATTCCATCCAGAGGTAATTCCGATGCTCTCTCGGGAAAGGAAGAGGAAGGGATCCAAACATTTTTTCACGTGAAATCCATAATACGAGTATATGTGCATATTTATTTTATATTTTAACCGACTGGTAATTCTAAATAAATTATATATACATATATAGATAGATAATAATATAACAGTGTAGATGATCATATTGATATTACAGTTTTTATGTCATAGTAGTGGCGAGGCTGTGTATTACATGTTTTAAGTTTGGTGAAGAAAGGGCAGATTGCGTGAATTGAGTTGGGAATGGTAATCACTATTATTATGATTACATGCCTGTTATTCTTTCATTTCCCACATGACATGATTACAAATTGTAAGGATAATTGCTTCCTACCTGATGCAACAAATTCGCACTTATGCTGATAATTTGCAGGATTTATTAGAGTTATACGCTATCAAAAAAATCAGTATTATTATTTTTACATGTAAAGCACATCAACCGTATATCTAACAATTATTGATACAATATTGAAACTCAGAACTATTTAGAATAACAGTGACGCTTTCCAGGACAAAAGACCTTTATATACAGTGTTTCCCTTTTCTTTTTCCTACACCTTTACCATTAAAAGAATTGCATTGAAAGACCATTTTTTAACTTTCCAGGATATAATAAATGAGTTCTTATAGAGATAATAAATATACGTGTATTTCCATAACACTACTATCTTACAAGAAATCTAATAAGCGAACATAATTTCTATTACAATTTACTTGTTGTTTTGAGATTAAGCGTAAGCAGGAGCAGGCTGGTAGGAAGTGGAAGGTCTTGGGGCGCCGTATTGGGCCTCTCCCTCGTACGTAACTTGGGCCACGTATCCAGCGTCGCCGTTCACGGTGTACGACACCCTCTGTACACGGCCGTCGGGAAGCAGTACAAAGTAAGCTCCTTGAGTGTCGTATCCATTTCGATTCTCTTGGTGGCCGAAGTCGTTACTCGAGTAATCATGATTCACTGCGTAGTTGAAGTCGTACTGAGCTGGTCCTGTAAAGAGACGAATCGAATAAAATATGTAATCGAATGATTATGTTATCGAATAATTATGTAAAATATGTAATCGACTAATTATGAAAAGTTTTGTGTAAGCGGATAAAAGTGTAATTTTTCAATTGAATATTGTGAAAAATTACAACCATATGATATATTTATCACTATGTGCGCTACAGATTACCGTGGGAGCAGGAGCGTTATAAGATGGGACAGGAACGTTGTAGGAGGGTGGAGAACTGCTGAGGACACCGACCACGAAGGCGGATAGAATGAAAACCTGTAAATAAGAAAATGTTTGAAAATCACAATTTGCTACAGTGGTTTCGTGGTTTATCAATCCATTGCGAAAAATACACGGGACGTTTCGAGAGAGGCTCTAACCTTGATTGCCATCTTTATTCTGCTGGAACTGCTGAGAAGCAAACGTCGAACCATCTTTATATAGCACAGACACACGCCCACCACAGCCCTTAACCTCAGGAACAGGATTTTTTTATTTTTTTATTGCAATACTTGTTCCATTGACACACACACACACATATATATATATATACATATTTAATATTTTGAAGAATGAAATACTCATTTATTTTTTATATTCAGTAGATTTACAAAATAAATTTAAAGTCAAGTTCAAAAGTTCGTTGCACTCTTATTAATTATTGCTGATAAGGCTAGTAATGCTGATAATAATGATAGCTGTAATAAGGGTAATGATGATAACACTGATTTAGTTAAATAGGGATAGCAATAACAATATATTAATGATAAAGACAATGAGGATGCGATAGTGATAAATATGAATATTATAGTAGTTGAAACAATGATAATGAAAACAAAAATAATTATATGATAATGATAACATGATAATAACGGATCATAATACCCTGGAATATCATTCACACCAATAAGGATAATGAAAATGACATGGATAATAAAATACTGACCAAATAATAATAATAATTGATAAGAATATGGGGAGAAAATCTTACCGTAGCGGTAGAGGGACGCTGTTCTCAATAAACACACACATACAAAGATACATAAACATTCACACGTAAAACAAACAAATATATATATATATATATATATATATATATATATATATATATATATAATATATATATATTATATATTTCTATCTATCTTTATACATTATATGTGTGTGTGTGTGCACGTAGTACTTTCCTGAGACATGCACAAGACTCATTGAGAATCTCAACATAACGTTGCATCAAGGGGAAGGGAGAAAAAAACTTCCTCTTCTGATAACAGTGAGACACAAGTCATCACAAAGATTGGTCGGTTGCGCTTATTATGTTTCCCTCCACTGATGTCTTCGCCCGTAGACTGGTGGTCTCTTCCTTGAATGCTGCCTTATTTCAATCTTTCTTTCTTTCTTTTTCGTCCACGAAACATTCAAGTCTCCTCAATTCCCACATCCTCCGCATATTTCCATATATCAGCCTACCTTCGCATGAACTGCCTGACCCTTCGGCCTGCCTTAACTTCCCTTCGCTTCCGTTGACCTGTCTTCACCTGTTCTGTGTTTACCAAGTTACTTCTTTTTTTTTTCTCCTACTTACACTTCCTCTCCCTTTCCTCTTTGGGCCTACAGATAAAATACAGGAGGATTTTTAATAAATCTCGTTTGTACATTTTGTTTTCTGCCGTAGTATCAACACGGCAATGTTTTGCCATTCACACACACTCCCTACACACACACACACACATATATATGTACATATTTATGTTCATACAAATTTGTGAGAGAATGTATATATATACACACCACACACACATATATGTATGTATGTTGATATAGGCACATATATTTATTAACAAATACATACATATACATATATTTGTATTCATCTATTTATATATATATATTATATATTATATATATATATATATATATATATATATATATATATATATATATATATACATATACATTATATAACATAAACACGCATTTTATATATATATATATATATATATATTATATATATATATATATATATATATATATATATATATATATATATATATAATATATATATATTATAAATATATACATACATATACATATATTCAACAAACATGTTTATCTACACTGCATATATATATATATATATATATATATATATATATATATATATATATATATATATATATATATATATATATATATATATATATATAATAATGAAAAAAGAACAATAATATGAAATATTAGCAATATTAGTATTACTACTATATTATTTGGTACTGCCATTATTATCATTACTGATAACTTAATATTAATAAAAGTCATATCAGCAATTATGATTTATGATAAAAAATTAAAATTAAAACAACTATGTCAATGATTTTAGTAATAATAACAGTAGAGATACTAAAATCAGCGATAATAACGGTGATAATAGTGATGATGATAAAATCATTTACAATAATAATAACAATAATGATGTTAGTTGAAACTAAAATAAGACAATGTTAAGAACAACGGCAACAAAAGTAGCAATAATAATAAAGTTATATCCTTATTATCGTACTTATCAATCATCGTCTCATTATCAGTCATAATAAGAGGATCTAAAAACACACAATGACTGTAGTTAAAAAGCTTAATAATGAACATATTTATTATACTTTTATTCTATTAATAGTACTACTACAAGTACTACTTTAATCAGTGTGAGGGTGATAATATAAATAAAGATAATTATGGAACACTGTTAGGAGGAAAAGAAACATTTAACTAATTGTGTATGTATGTACAATGCAATGTACATGGTAATTCCACCAAATGTTACAGGGAAATGTCCGTCAGACACCTTCAGCCACGTGACAGGAATTGACGATCTTGGTACAGGTATTTATTTCTATGTGGACTCTTGTAACGTACCTTGAGACGGTTTGGTAGATGTAGGCGTAAAGGACGAAGGCACGTACACATATGTAAATACTAAGGAAAGATAAAATTTCCTACGTTTAGTATGAAAGTCTGCTTAAGATGGTTGGAAACAATTCAGTCGTTACCGAAATGTGTAGAGAAGAAAGACAATTTTTTTCCGGGAAATTTCAATAATTCACCTATTTTATTTTTATTTTCTTCTTGTTTTTTTTTTTTTTTTTTTTTTAAGGTGAACATTAGTGATAGGGAGGGCACAGGAAGAAATGACATGCATGAGCATAACGAGTATTTGTTGAGTAACAGTGGATTTACCTAGCTTGACATTTAATATTTGTTAGTA